ACAGGCGACGCCCCAGGAACTGGCCAGGCCTGAACCACCCGAGCTGTTCCTGATGCCTCTCCGCAACATGGAACAGCTTATGCTGCAGAAGCGCAGCTGAAGAACTTCACCAACAGGACACTGCCGGTATTTATGTGTCCTCTTTTTCACAATATTGACGGGCATAAGGCTACAATTCTTACTTTGTGGTTTAACTTGGGTTATCCGAAGATTTATGCAAATGGGATTGGAATGTGGACTGAAGCCTTTTACCGTAACATTTCAAATGGATGCCCACCCAAACTATGTTTTAAGCACGGTCGGTGGCAAATCAAAAATGAGTAAGTTGCCCTACCTTCATTACGGGCCTTCTGTTATTTATAACAGCAGAGTGCATGCACAGCCAATGCACAATGGAAGGCTATTTATTGTAAGGGGTACCCTTAAACTGAACCGTGCGATAGAATTGTGTCAAGGTGACGCAACGCCAGTTGCACGTTTTGTAAGTCAGCTTTAGTAGCCTGCGTAAACTTTTTGCAATTGTTAAACTGCGTTTCATAGAGGCTACTGAAGGGAGAAATGATGGACGGTGGCCACCAAAAATTAAATATTTGTGCATCATTACATTTTTGAACAGTTCTTTCCACCCGAAGGTCGTGTAGACAAGAGGCCTTCATGTGCAACCTCATTGAACGGCATTTTATGTCTTTTTCAACTGCCGCTTCTTGAAATATTTTTAAGTAAAGCATTTCACAACGGGGGAAGTAAAATCGCCCAACATATATGCCTTTGGGTGCTTACAATATGTCGGCCTGCAAATAATCATAAATCATGCTGATTTGCTACGACACTTCTGCCCGTTATATCCTTAGAAGTTAAATTCCGCACCTGCAACAACTCTCGCCGTGAGTATGTGTGCGGAGCACACACAAACCTGCCTGCGTGCTTTTTGTGTTTAATGCTTGCTTGACAGAAGGATCGATATGCTGTAGTATATATTGGGCTTCTTTTGGTTTTGTTCCTGTTCTCACTTGAGGCTATAATCAAGAGATCTAAATATTTAGGGCAATAAATTCATTTGTGCTTTCGGCATCTGCTACAGAAGTAAAGGTACACGCTTGAAAATAACTTTTAGCCTGGTCTAAAATCGCTTTTGAGCGTGCCCACCATATGCGTATGCCCAAACAAATTTGTAAGGGGTTGCCAGATAAATCTTGATTAATTCCATCTTTACATTAGTAGTGCATTTCCAAAATGAGATATTAGCCAGTCCTAACCGAAGGTCACCCTATGAGAGGAAATCAAATTTTCCAAGGTGAAAGAGTAACTGTCATTGCATCCGCCACTTTATTCAGGGGGTGTGAGTGCATGCGTAGCTGTGTCTCCAGGCATAGCATACGGTAGTCGCGCAAGCGATTATTACGCGAGGCGAGCTTGAGCTGAGTAAGTTAGTTCATTGGCCTACAGGGCCACAACTGAGTCAGCACTAAACAAAAATATGGAAAGGTAACTACTCATACTGTGCTGCTGTTGCCATTTTTTGCAACTATGATGACGGTTTTGGTCAATTCCTGCCTTTTTATGCCTTTTTCAATTCCAGTCTTTGTAAAGTCGTAAAATAGGTGATAAATTTGTAGGGTGACTAGCCGGCAGCTAGACTAAGCTTTAACAAAGTCAAGATGCGCAGGGTCTTGAATGCACTGTTTTGAGAACCACATACATTATTAAAATTACTGAGTGGATGCTGATGGGCAAAGAGGATCCGTCAAAACGTTTGCACAATTTGAACGTTGCAACGAATTTGACTGACTAATGAGATTTAGCAGAGTATGGAGGGGAATATTTTAATCTTTCTGGTTTCGTCTAAGACAGGTAGAGATGCCATATATTCTAATATTTTTTATTCTCTCTCTAGTAAATATTGTAACATTTTGATGCATGTATAGTGTGGCTTGCTGCATTTACCTGGGCATTCACATTCTCTTACTTGAGACATGTTCATACCATTGTATCTGCATATAAATAACTTTATTGACATATTGAGAACACATTTTGTCTTTCTAGCAGGAGCAGCTCGTGTCTCTAGGAGACAGCAAGAACCTGCAGAAGGTGGTACGAGAGATGGTGGGACGCCTGTTCTCAAAGCAAGTCCAGGAGCAGTTCTCCAGCCCTTCTGGGCTACCAAGGAAAGTCAAGGTTCAAGGACGCCATGATGTGTAAGGTGGTCATCGGTAATGCATATTCTTTACTAGCTATTAAATTGATGGTATCTCTATTGGAGCTCAATAGACAAGCACAATCTTTGAAACAGGTTGACAATTAAAGGGAAACTGAAACACTTTTTGACAAAAAAACGAGTTATAGGTGACTTCTGGCGTATTTTTGTCCTGTGAATCTGAATATCACTTTCGTTTTCCCCGAAGGTGTTACTAGACGCGAGAAAACACGAAAAGCCTCAGAGCAGTCGTGACGTCGTAGTAGGATCTTTGGGGCGCCAAGCACGTGTCGCTCGTGTGGGCGGCGCGTGCAATTGCAAGCTTGCCAGTTGTATTTTTCCACACTGATGCCAGTTGTGGCGTCTATTTCTGACCTTTTTACAAATACAAGAGTTCACGTGCATAGGTTTGACAGGAGCTGAAGATGAGCGAGAGCAGAAATTCCGAAAACTCCCAGCATGACGTCACGCCCCGGGAAGGAGGGGCTTCAGCTGTACTTTATAAATTAATTTCTGCAGCCTCCGTGCACCAGATTGAAAAAATGAACTCGATATTCGTGATCCTGGATGCCATATCAAGACGATTTTGGTGTTCTTCCTCAAATACAGAACAGCTTCAGTTTCTTGTTAAGTCTTGCAATATGCAAAATTTAAGTCGTCAATTCCTGTCGTTATTTTTTTTTTTTTTTTTTAAATTTGACTTGCATTTTTTATTATGAATATCTCCTGTGTTACCATTCTCGGAACCTTCATACTGAAAAGCAGCGTCTTGAAGGAACTGTGAAAAAAGGGTTTTGTTGCTCTTGTCTTGTTATCCTGTTAGTTTCCAGGTTGAAAATCTAATGACGACCATTTAGAGGCCTTGGTCTGTAGAGTGTCAGTTGGGGAAGTTTTGCTCTTTTTTTAACCACTCATCTCTGCACCCCACCCTGTCTCGCCCTTGCCCCGTCTCGCCCCCCATTTCAGATTAATAGGATGTTGCGTGAAATAGCCATATGCCTCCATAGAATCTGCACCTTAGCGTGGTAGCCAAACGCACAATCTCCACCTCTGTGGTGCTCTCTTTCTGTCACCTTTGAATTGCAGGCTAAGTGAGGGACCTATATTTACACAAAGTAAACGCTCACAAACTGCAGTGTGTGAACAGCACCTTGTGTGTAGCTAATATGCAAGATATTGGCTTCCCCTATCCTTCAACTAATCTGTGTGATCTGACAATTCTCTTTGCAGGTGCCATACAAAGTTGCACTCGTGCAGCGTGGACGCGGTGCAGAAGTGGCTGACGGGCAGGGAGGCGGGCAAGGGCAATAGAGTTAAAAAGACGGACACTCCACTGGTGGTTCCAACCGCCCTTGACGATGAGGGACACTCTGGCTGAGGAGCTAGCTGCTATGGATGCACGAGTCACAATAAAGAATGTCACGGTAAAAAAAAATTTGTATGTTCCCTTCTTGTACTACCCACAATATGCATCTGGGCGACAGATGAATGGGACATGTCGTCTCAACGAGTATACAGTAATTGCCATGAGTATACTGTATACATGGAGAAAGTCAATTGTTCACACAGAATTGTTTCTTAAAATTGCACAAATACTAAACCGGCTTTTTTCAGTTCAAGTCCAAGTTCAAGTGGGTACACTGAATAACGCATACGCTGGTGCTGATCCGCAATTTCGCAGGCAATGACCTGCAATTATGCTGGCACTGATCTGTTTTTACGCTGGGACTAATCCGCAATTGGACTGGCTCTGACCCGGAAACACGCTGGCACACTGATGGTTTCCTACCGTACCACCGGCTCCATGCCGGGGATCTGTGTCGGGAGCTCGCTGGGAACATCCCGTATTCCCGGCATCCCGGTTTCCCAATAAGTTCCCAGTACCGGCCGGATTCCGGCATTGGGCCCGGCCAATGTCGCCCCTTGGGGCGTTTCCGGTACTGGCCGGTATCGGTATCCCGGCAGGCCAATACCGCCCCATCCCCAACCCGGCGTGTTGTGCTACTTGGGTAGTTACACAAGGAACCTAGCTTACCCGTCCAGCTAAGCGAAAAGACCCCCGAAAAGAAATAAAAAGAAGTTAGCCTGCGTAGTTCAGGCTTCCTTTGTTTGCCCCCTGGCCTAGCACCCCACCACTTCGAAACTCAAAGTAGCAGTAAAAATAAAAGTTTTGGCTCTACAAAAGAAACAAACACACGCTCGTGTTCGCGCAAACGCGAGGAACACGGGCGTTAGATTTATATGTACGGGCGAGCGCTCAAACTTTGAGTTTGGACGCAAAATCAAGTGGCAACCATCTTGATTTTTTCCGCTAGGCCTAGCTCACACAAAAATGCTCAGAAATCAAAGAAAATTAACTTTAGAAAAACAAAAACACCTGGAAACTAATCGCTACACCTTTATACACTAATACCTAAAAGAATATACTTCCAGCTAGCCTGGAAATATAAAAATTATACTTAGCTTGGGGAGCTCATTCGATGCCGGTCTTGCCCCCTCGGCGCCTATGGAAGAAGTCAGTAGATAGGGACAATTTCTAAATGAGAGCAAAAAATAAAATAAATGAACTTATGTCTCTCAACCTGCACCGTCAGATGACATAACAGGTTTAATCCAATCAAAAATAAAAGAATAGGGTCAATTGACCAAAATAAAATTTATTGTTAAAGCCAATTTTAAAAGAAAAAATGGGAGGCAACGAAACCACAGGATCAGGAACTGACTTAGAAATTATTAGCGGGCATTTATTTTCTATTTATATTTATGTTTGTCGAGAAATTAGTTTAAGTTTGGTCTTCCGTCCATTGGTGATTTCATGCCTCTTTGGGTTCTGGAAGTCGTCGAGGACCCACTTGAATTAGAAAGTTCTATTGGAGAAAAAAGAGAAGTAAGGATGAGTATTAGTACTGTAATATCAATTTTAAATGTTCATTTTAAAGTCTATAAATATTTATATAAATGTTTCTCCTTTTTTTTTCTTTTTTTTTCATGTTTTGTGGGCCCGCATCAGCCACGCCCCTGCTGGGTCATCACTGATTTGATATTTTAATTATATCAGAAGAACCGGAGCAAAGAAAAAAAAGGAAAAAAAAATTTTTTTTACCTCTTTCCACCTTTCCCTTGAAACCGAGAACACACCCCGACACCCCCGCCGTCGACCAGTCCACGCCACCACTCACCCATGCCCCAAAAACCTAACCAAGTTTCTACCTCAGGTAAGTTAAATACTATTTTTCCTATATAACATTAAGTTAAAGTTTAAACACTATTTATTATAAAATAGCAATCATTACTTGACTTTGCCTCTGTTATCACATATAGCAGAATGAAAGCATATTCTAGCTAAAGTTCAATGTAAATTTTCCATTTTAATCCTGAGGGCATACAATATGAATGAAATGCCTAGTTGTCCTCAATACTTCCACAACTGAAGCCTCATATATTTAATCACTGAAAGCAGGACGAACCCGCCAGCCGCCACGGAGAACAACCCCATCACTAAGGATGTTAATAGTGAAACCTAAAGAAGCATATTAGCCCAAGAAATGCCTGGTATTTCCTCTTTACCTCTTTATTTTTACTAATAATGCAGAACCCCCACCCCCAACCCACCCCCACAACACCTCCCGTTTAGTTTTCTCATTTTAGCTAATCTTTTTATTTACCTGCTTACCCTAATCTGGTAATGCTTATAGCAAAAATCATTGAGCTATAGTTGTTCTATTTACAAGTTTTAAAGTGTCGTACTAGGCCGTTTAAGTTATTAGGATTTCTCTTACTTTTAAAATAATAGAAAGAAATTATTTTTAAATATGTCCAAGCATTGTGTGAGAATTCAAACCACCCTGCGAACCGAGTGAGCTTCTAGATTTCCCTGCTCCACGAGGTGCAACATGTGTATGCTCACACAATGGAGCCATCCTATCAAAAAGAAAACTGGACATTTCACATCTGTCCTTTCTAAAAGCTAATCAGAATCCCAGGGATACAGATCCAGTCTGCTCCCTCCTGAAATTTTTGTTGGGTATTCTGGTGCATGCTTATAATGTGGTACATAATAATATATAGTGGAAGCCTAAGGCTGCGAAACTGGTCCGCGCCTTCCTATCCCAAAACTTTAAAGTCTTCCAGGGTGCATGCTGTGAGCCCATTATTCAGTTGTAGCTTGTGCTGTTGTAAAGATTGTTTGTTTGAGAGCAGTTAGGAGATCTTTTAAACGTTGAAGTTCAGAGCTTGCAGGTTCTGACTCTGTCATGATGATGTTCAAAATTCTTGTATTTTCTTTTTTTTTAAAAGGTTGCTGAAATCTTTTATCTCCATTTCAAACATACTCCAGAAGAACTGTGTGGGTCTCACTTTTTCTATAATTATGTATACTGAAACATTTTTGTTTTATTATTAAATAAAAGAAAGTTGACATGTTGGTGTGTCCTGGGAATCCCGTCCACGCACTCAGGTCGCCAGTCAATATATACTACAAGAAAGTTATTTAAACTCACTCTATATTATCATTTATTAATTGAACCATTTCTTTTAAGATGTCTATTTTCTGTTTAAGGTGAATTATTTTTTGTTTTTCTGAAGGATCGGTAAGTGAAATCCCAAGTTTATATATATAGCTGCTAGTGTACAAACAAGAAGTAAAATAATGATCTATCGATTGACAATCCGTACCGCAAAAACATTGACTATGGTCGTTTATTTTAAATCTATGAAAGTAAAATGGAAACCTTCCATGACATGTCAAAAGTTCAGTGAGATAGTAGGTTGAAGGAAAGAGGTCCGGCATCCTTGAAATTGTTGGGATCCATTGAAACAGCTCTTTCTCAAAGCCCTGTTCACTCCATGTTATATTCCAGGCATCCCTTGCATGCACTATTAACTGCTTTTTAATATATTTCTTTGATTTTTTCATTGGGGTGTATAACCCGCGGCGACGAGCGTCCGACGCAAATTGGCCAGCTAGCTCATTTCCTAGTATACCAGAATGTCCCTTTACAAAATAACAAGTGACCCTACATTTAGTGTTTAATATTCCTATGTTGTGTTTTAAGTTACAAATTAACGGTTCTACAGTTGATACATTGGCTAGTGCCTGAAGGGCAGATAGACTGTCGGTAAAGATATCACAATCTCGTTCTTCTCTTGTCAGTATTAAATATTCCACTCCCCTAATAAGCGCGACAACCTCCGCATCAAAGATGGTGGCATGCTTGGGCAGACAATATTTGCCTATTTTAACTATACTACCATTATGCTTCATTAAGACAAAGGCCGCTCCAACCAACCCTAAACATACAGACCCATCTGTATATAAATGAAGTACATTTTTAGAGGATTCATATGTTTGTGGATCATATCTATTAAATGATATTAAAGGTTTATTACTAGGATGAAAGTTCCATATGTCTACTGGGTATACTACTTCTTCTGGGGTTACCGTCCAACCATTGAATTGAGCTGGAGTCCGTGCTTGGAACAGCTTAAACATAAAGACCTCCATATTCAATGATATATTAATTGGAATAACGTTACATAACACTGGTAGGCTCACGTTGGGAACCGTATGATATGCCTGACATATCTTTAATAATGGAATACGTTGTACAGAAATAATTTTCCTCATCAAATGCGAGTTACCCTCCGTCCTCCACCAAACCGGAGCACCATATACTATGTATCTCTCTATTGATTTTAAACATATTTCTCGAAATTGTGTAGGGTTAATGCCCCAATTACATGCAGAAAAACGTGCAAGGTTCACTGTATGTTCTAAGACTTTCTTTTTGAGATACGTAACATGAGGAAGAAATGATAGATGGGAATCAAAAACCACACCTAGAATTTTTATTTCAGGTTTTATCTTTAGTTTATTTTGATTAAATTTAATTATTGGATTACGTTTAAGATATGTTGTTCCTTGAGCTATCAACATACAAAAGCATTTATCATAGTTAAAATTAAGTTTCCTATCCTGGGCCCATCTGTGTAATAGCTTAAGGGTAGTATCTGCGCGAGTCTCAATTTGTCGACGGGATAAACCGTCAATTACGAGAATAACATCGTCCGCAAATGCCTGTATGTGCACGTATGGATGAAAAGTAATATTTAATAAGTCACTGATTAATATATTCCAGAGTAGAGGACTTAAAGGAGAACCCTGTGGACAACCTACTGGGACATCTTTATTAATTTGATGCTTATCCTGTGTAATATAACTGACTATTCTGTTCTTAAAGAAAGAGTAAAGAAGATTATATAAATTACATGGACATTGATGCATTTGCAAAAAATGCAGAACAAACGGATAACATAGAGAGTCAAACGCCCCAGAAAAATCTAAGGAAATTAACAAGGATATTCTACCATTACTTTTCAAAGTTTGAAGATGTGAAACTAAATTATAAAGTGCCGTTCCTGCTTCAGGTCCCCAGCCCGACCGGCTCAGTCCTCAGAGCCAATCCTTATCCCAAGGTTACGGATCCGTTTTGCCGACTTCCCTTACCTACATTGGTCCATCGACTAGAGGCTGTTCAACTTGGAGACCTGCTGCGGATGTGGGTACGGTCCGGCACGAAAATCACACTCCCTCACTCGGATTTTCAAGGGCCGACGCGAGCGCACCGGACAGCGCAAGAACCGCACTGCTCTACGGAGCCACCATCCCTATCTCGGGGCGAACCCATTCCAGGGACTCGATCTCCTTACAGAGAAAAGAAAACTCTTCCCGGGGCTCGCATCGGCGTCTCCGAGCTGGTTTGCGTTACCGCACTGGGCCCCGAAGGACCAATCTCCGTGTCCGGGTTCGGGATTATTAACCCGATTCCCTTTCGGTCATTGCGGGGCTCTCTCCACTGCAAAAAAGTGCTCCCGCTTCGGAAAGAACTTCTCCTTTCCCTTAGGACCGACTGACCCATGTTCAACTGCTGTTCACATGGAACCCTTCTCCACTTCAGTCCTCAAGGTTCTCACTTGAGTATTTGCTACTACCACCAAGATCTGCACCAGCGGCGGCTCCAGGCGGGCTTACGCCCGACACCTTCAACGCTCACCGCAGCGGCCCTCCTACTCGCTGCAGCTTAGCACCCCCTTGTTTGCGTGCATCTGCCGGCAGCGGCCGGGGATAGGCTCGACACTAGAGCGCCATCCATTTCCGGGCCAGTTGCTTCGGCAGGTGAGTTGCTACACACTCCTTAGTGGGTTCCGACTTCCATGGCCACCGTCCCGCTGTCTTAAGCGACAAACACCCTTCATGGGATCTCATGAGCGTCCCGCATCGGGCGCCTTACCCCGGCGTTTGGTTCATCCCACAGTGCCAGTTCTGCTTACCAAAAATGGCCCACTTGGCACTCTCATCGCTTCCGGAGGCCTCAGACCAGAAGGCCTCCGACACACCCATTGAAAGTTTGAGAATAGGTTGAGGTCGTTTCGACCCCAATGCCTCTAATCATTCGCTTTACCAGGTGTGACTGGTCTCGGCAACAAGCGCCAGCTATCCTGAGGGAAACTTCGGAGGGAACCAGCTACTAGATGGTTCGATTAGTCTTTCGCCCCTATACCTGGGTCGGACGATCGATTTGCATGTCAGAAGCGCTTCGGACCTCCACCAGAGTTTCCTCTGGCCTCGTCCTGCCCGGGCATAGTTCACCATCTTTCGGGTGCCAACGTGTGCGCTCTAGCGCCGCCCCCACGACGTGAGCGTGTGGGGCGGGCCGTTGCTGCTCCCTGCATAGGACCCCTGGGCGGCCCGGGATCGCAACTCGGCACGGCACGAGGCCGCGCCTTCACGTTTCATTGCGCCTCTGGGTTTTGAGGGACCCATTGACTCGCGCACATGTTAGACTCCTTGGTCCGTGTTTCAAGACGGGTCGGGTGGGTTACCGACCTACTCGCCGCCAACCATGACGACCCTCCGCGGAAAGAACCCGCCTCGCCGGTTCCGAGCCCAACACCGAACGTCAGGCGAATACCTGGCGTAAGGCTGGGGACCCGTTGACCCAGCCGGGTTTCCCGCTCCGCATTTCGGTGGGCATCGTTTCGGGCCTCCCCGAAGGGAGTAGCCCATGAGGCCTGGGCAGGGTGACGTACTCGATTACCGGCCAGGTATAACTCCCACGACAGCCAAACAAGGGCCGTCGCCGGTCACCTCCAGCGGCCGGACTCAAAGTCGTTCTTGAAAGGGTTACCCGTGCCCGTCGCGGCGTCCTACCGACGG